TGGCCGCCATCTTGTTTTACTCTTTCCGCCAATGGTCGAAGTAAATTTCTCAATTTTTTTTTCATTGAAGCCATATTTTTTCAACACAATTCTGACTTGTGACTCTTTTCTGTATTGAGGTATTGATGAGAAATGGGCAAAGAACTGAATTAATAACTTCGTAGTATTTGACAAAGGCTGGCTTTCCCACATGTACTTAACAATGCGACGCCCGGGTGTGATATACAACAATAGTATTTACCTTACTTTTTTCCGATTTTTTTTTTACCTTAACTTTCCAAAATATCATTAAAATCGACAACAACTGTCAAAGCAGGCACGACCACCATTCGTGCTACGCCTTGAAAGCAGCACACATCCGCTCGTTTTCGTCTCGTCAAGTATGTGCATTGGAGCGTGCTATCGAATACGATCTTCGGACAAAAATGCCGGAGTTGCGCATCATGTTGTTTAATGTCATTGGTTTCACCAACGACTAACGTTTCACGTAACCCCAACTGTCACTTTAATTATATTTAAGTTAGGAATTTGGAGCATGGTGGGGATTTCGTTCTTGAAAAATGTGGTTGTTCAGGCGATTACACAATAGATATGTGGAAACAATTGTGTTTGACTGATATCATAAAAACGCAATAACCTCCACCGGGAAGATTTCACCGGAGTCCTGATTGAGGTCGAGGGCGAAGCGCACTTTAGTTCTATTTCTATGTATAGCTCGGGTACTGCAGATCCAGGCAACGCAATGATATTGAAATCGCTTCGCAAAATATAGAGTCAGGCGATAAAATATGGCCAAATACAGATAAATGGGAAAGCGATTCCGATAAGCCATCTTGGCTAATGTTCTGTGGTCATTATAAATAAACCTGACTATGACTTATTGTTCGCTTTTGAATGATACGCTGGCCATATGACTAATCCGCGACTTACGCAAATTGATAAAACAGCCAAAATTAGCATGATATCGGCTGGGGTATATTAGCGTTTCATACGTAATAAGAAACGAATCAAGATAAGGAGAACATGCAAGATCGCTTTTATTTGAAATCCGGATGAATCCGGCTCAGTGTCTGATTTTCGATTGCGGATTCAATCCGGTAGCGGTCAGCGGACAAAAAATTAAATACCGGCCGAATTTTAATCCGGCAAACAGCACTGATGCCCAGTAATCTCGCGTTTCAACAAAAACAAAAAAACGACTTCGTGCACCAACAATCTAAGCAATGAGCACTTGGTTCGAGATTACTTCACAATACGTTCTTTCAGGATATCTTATTTAAATGTGGGGCCGTCAATCGTAAAGTACAGAATTTTGGAGTAAAATACCGTTATTCAAGAATTTCGATATCATTTCTTTGTTTGGGCCAATTTTTGACATGTTCCCGACATACAATTTTTATAAAACTTGGTTCGAGATGACTTCATAATATGTTCTTTTAGGATATCTTACTGAAAAGAGGGGCCGGCAATCGTAAAGTACAGAATTTTGAGGCATAATACCTAAGTTTAAGAAGTTTGATAAAATTTCCTTGTTTGGGCCATGTTTGAGATGAATTTATGACATGCTCCCGACATACAATTTTTGTAAAACTTGGTTCGAGATTACGTCACAATATGTTCTTTTAAGATATCTTATTTAAATGTGAGGCTGGCAATTGCAAAGTACAGAATTTTGGGGTAGAATACCGTTATTTAGGAATTTTGATATATTTCTTTGTTTGGGCCATGTTTGAGATGAATTTATGACATGTTCCCGACATACAATTTTTCTAAAACTTGGTTCGAGATTACGTCACAATATGTTCTTTTAAGATATCTTATTTAAATGTGGGGTCGGCAATCGTAAAGTACAGAATTTTTGGGTAGAATGCCGTTAATTAAGAATTTTGATATAATTTCTTTGTTTGGGCCATGTTTAAGAGGGATTTATGACATGTTCCCGACATACAATTTTTGTAAAACTTGGTTCGAGATTACGCCACAATATGTTCTTTTAAGATATCTTATTTAAATGTGGGGCCAATAATTGTAAAGTACAGAATTTTTGGGTAGAATGCCGTTAATTGAGAATTTTGATATAATTTCTTTGTTTGGGCCATGTTTGAGAGGGATTTATGACATGTTCCCGACATACAATTTTTGTAAAACTTGGTTCGAGATTACGTCACAATATGTTCTTTTAAGATATCTTATTCAAATGTGGGGCCGGCAATCGTAAAGTACAGAATTTTTGGGTAGAATGCCGTTATTTAAGAAGTTTGATATAATTTCTTTGTTTGGGCCATGTTTGAGAGTGATTTATGACATGTTCCCGACATACAATTTTTGTAAAACTTGGTTCGAGATTACTCCACAATATGTTCTTTCAAGATATTTTATTTAAATGTGGGGCCAGCAATCGTAAAGTACAGAATTTTTGGGTAGAATGCCGTTATTTAAGAATTTCGATATATTTCTTTGTTTGGGCCATGAATGAGATGAATTTATGACATGTTCCCGACATACAATTTTTCTAAAACTGGGTTCGAGATGACTTCGGATAAGTTCTTTTAAGATATCTTACTTAAAAGTGGGCCGGCAATCGTAAAGTACAGAATTTTGGGGTAGCATACCGTTATTTAACAATTTCGATATAATTTCTTTGTTTGGGCCAATTTTTGACATGTTCCCGACATACAATTTTTATAAATCTTGGTTCTAGATGACTTCACACTATGTTTTTTAAAATTAGGGCCGGCTCTTGTAAAGTATAAATTTTCTGAGTAGAATACCCATATTTATGAATTTTAATGTAAATTTTATATTTGACAGGATTTTATGACGTGTTCCCGACATAAAAATTATGTAAAACTTTGTTCTAGAAGACTTCCCAATTTGTTAATTTAGGATATAATACTTAAAAGTGGGGCCGGCAAACGGAAAGTACAGAATTCCGGGTGGAATACAGATTATTCAAGAATTCGCGTGTAAATATCATGATTGGGCCATGTTTGACAAGGTATTACTATATGTTTCCGACGTACAATTTATAGAAAACTTTATCAGAGATCACTTCACTATATGTTCTTTTTAAATATCTTATTTAAAACTGTGGACATTTATTGGGGAGTACAAAATATTTGACTAGACAACCGAATTCGCCAAACTTTTCGCCCATATCTGGCACCTGCATTTCGCCCAACATTCATATTTCCCGTCGCGCGTTTTATACACAATGTTAAATCGTTTTATGGCAACCCTATTTTACTGTTCCAAAAACGAGAGAGATGTCTGCTGAGAGATGTCTGCTAGGGTAACTTTGGTGACTACAGGAGTATCCTTTTCTGTAGCCTGGTATTTTGCTTTATATTTATATGAAGGCTTATCGTAAGAAAAAAAATTGGTGGCATCCCACGATTTTTTTTGGTTCGAATATTTACAATTTTGTGAATATTGAGAATTTTGGTAGGATAATTGAACTTTTTTGCGGCCATAGCTTGATGGGCCACGGCCCATGTGGCCCAATTAGATGGGCTGTGGCCCCGGCCCATGGGCTGTAGAGGAATCACCACCCCTGTAGACCGGTTCGGCACACTATACAAATCGGGTGACATTGTCCGTTTCAGAGAAACCCATTTTACAGATGATCAGACGCCCTTCCTTTGGCAGATGTCTGGACATTGTTGTCCCTCAATATCGGTAATAATACAGTATAATGAAGTTGCGCAAAGTACGGTACTACAAAAAAGCGCAATCTATAACGTCATCATTGAATTCCTTGGTAAAAAATGATATGCGCGTGGAAACTATGTTCAATGTGTAAAAATATTCTGGCTGAAAATGCTGCTAGCCTCACAGTGGTCGTTTGTGAGACACATACCGGTAGAGTGTTTGTTTTATTGAGCCAAATGGAGGGAAATTCTTGGAATTTGGATAGTGTGCTGAATATTTAATTTTAAACTAATGTGGAACATTCTTTCTGTAAAAGTTAAGCCAAGGATCAGACATTTCTGGAAATGATTTATGTGTGCTTTGTTCTCAAGAGCCAGAATTTATATCTTACTGGAAGTGTGCTTTTGCACAAAATGTGTATGATTAACAACGTTTTTTTTTCTGTATTAAAAAAACCCAAGTTCTGAAGTTGGAAAATATTCATAAAATGTGTATTCAACTAGACCTAAATACCATAATCAGTGTTTTTCACATTTATCAATAATTGAACATATTGCTGTCATACTTCTTCTGCGTACCAAGTGCAGTTTTAAGTATTCTATGGCGTCTGCAGCTGCCGCAAAACCATGGCGGTATTTCCATACCATGGCCGCTACGGCCAAACCTATGGCGACTGACTTTTTAGCTGCCACAAACCAATGTCGAGCTGCCGTTACAGCGGCAGCAAATTGAAAACCAATGGCAGGTAAAATTTTGCTGCCGTAACCGCGGCAGGTGGGCCGTAAGGACAGGGCTGTCCCTTATGGTGACAAATATTGGGTAAGTTGGAACGTTTTTCTTATGGATGCAGTGTTGATGGATTTGGGGTTAGGGTTTAAGTAGATACCGTATATTTCCGCATGATCAATTAGAATTTGGTACATTAGTTTGTGAATATACCGTTAATACTGATTACTGAATACAGAATAGCGCCATAAAACCATGGCAAGAGCTGCCGCGGTTCGTTCGTGGCAGGAGCTGCCATGAAGTGGTAAGAACTGCGCCTCCTGCGTACTGCAAAATATAAGATTTGGTTGGGGTCTTACCACTTACTGAATGGAGCGCAGAAGAGAGGGAAAGAGCGCGACACAGCGCAGAAGAAAGAAACTTTTTTTTTTCATTATTTATTAGCGACCGAAGACTTACGGTTACGGATCGATCGAAAGTTAGGAGATTCCCAAAACAGCGCTCTTACTCCATAGTGTCACCTTGTGTGCCATCACTAATTAAATAATAACACTCTAATTATACGACATAATTCATCCAAAATCAATAGGCTTCTGGTACGACATACAGACATATGATGAATGCACATGCAAAATCTGGAGCAGATTCAATCTTGCTTTCGTGAGATATCGCGAGCATCTAACAGACAAACAGACAGACAAATACCCATCAACATACGTACCGATTAAAATCGATCAGTAATAACCCAACATGATGCACCCTAACCTGGTACACATACTGTGTTCAGGTTTTGCGCCATCTTGGTGCTCATAGTCTACTTCTGGAGCACCAAAATTACTTTGGTTTTGCTTATTGCAGTATTGGTGGGCTCATATTGCGTCATGTTAGGTTATTTAAAGATGTTGAAAATTACTGATATAAACTCGTAATCATTATCTACTACTGTATACTGTTTTCCATCAAATTGTTTGAAATTTCGTGGACGCAGATAAATAATGAAAAAAATATGTTTCCCTCTCTTCTGCGCTGTTTCGTGCTCTTCGCGCTCTATTCAGTGAGTGTTAAGACCGGATTTGGTTGTAATGTGATGCAGTTATTTTTATAAATGCTTATCAAATTGTTAATAATGTTATAACAAGAATTAGAAAAGCTCTTTTAGCAAGGAGAAATATAGAAAAATTGAGACAACAACCCACTTGTATAAACTTTTGTTTTCTGCTATCGAAAATTCAAAAAACATATAAGATGATTTGTATTCACTGATAACTATGGCAGTACGGCACACTATCTGACTATCCAAATTCCAAGAATGTCCCGTCATTTGGTTCAATAAAACAAACATGTGTCTATGTGTCTCACAAACGAGGGTCATCTGGCACAAAGGCAGATGCGTCATATCGCGCCATGCTTGTCTCGATAATAATCTAAATTAATCGCAGCCGTCACCTGACCAAACTTGTTGTTTTTTGTTCTCGAATGCCACGGTAGAAAATTTTTCCCTTTGGTAAATCGAATTATTTTTTCCCGAGGAATTCAATGATGACGTTTTTAGATTGTGCTTGTTTGTACTTTTTTGCGCAACTTCAATTTACTGTAGTTTTACCGATATTGATGGACAACCATGTCCAGATGTTCCCCAAAGGAGGGGGCGTCTAATCATCTGTAAAATGGGTTTCTCTGAAACAAGACAATGTTGCCAGATCTGCATGGTGGACTGTATGGTGAAAAATACATCTGTAATCAACAATAGAACACTATGGATTACTTGAAAATACTGGATATACATATGGAATAACTGAAATCCTCGTTCATTATATATTTATGTTTGTAATTAATTATTCATGATTATTGTCTTCATTTACTTATTTTTTTACAAAACTCTTGAATACTTGTGGAACATTTGAAAAATAAATAAATAAGGGAATAACAACAACATATCAATGCTCATTTATACAGCTATGCTTATGTACAGTATTATATTAACATAATATAAAATGAAGCAATAATGTCTCTGAAAGTTTGAAAGAAACAATCTATTGCTTGTTGGTGTGTAATTTTTGCTTGTACATACACAAAGCAATAGTTTAAAAGACAAAGCTATGGATTTCACTGACATATTTCCTGCTCTTGTGGAATGTTTCATCATTATTCTATTTGGGTATATATCAGGAAGGATGAATATTATTACCCCAAAACAAGGACAAGGGCTTGGAACATTTGTTGGAACCTTTGCACTTCCAGCTCTTCTTTTTAAAAGCATGGTAGAATTGGATTTCAGCACTGTTAGTTGGGCATTCATGGTTGCTGTGCTTTTAGGAAAAGCGATTGTGTTTTTGCTCGTTTTCTGTTCATCTCTGATTCTTCTGAAAGATAGAAGAAAATTGTCTCGCGGATCACTGTATGCAATATTTACAACACAAAGTAATGACTTTGCCTTAGGTTATCCTTTAATCCAAGCTGTATATGGAAATAGTCATCCAGAGTTTCTCCAATATATATATCTTCTTGCACCCATATCCTTACTGGTATTGAACCCAATAGGTTTTATGTTGTTGGAAATTGATAAATGTCGTAATAATGATGAGGAATATATGGTGGTCGATGGAAGTGAGATGACTGACGATGAAGAAAGTAAAACTGTACAGGTCGGTACATCAATAAATGTTGTTGATGAAGATGTAGTCAATGGTGGCAATTCTGAGTTTGAGGAGGAAGTGTACGAAGAAAGCAAATTCACAGCAAAAACCTGTTTGAACGTTAGCAAAGGTGTATTTTTAAACCCATTGGTTTTTATGGTATTCATTGGCCTTGCTGGACACTTTATATTCAATGGAAAACTGCCTAACATAATCAGTTTAACTTTGGGAACACTAGCAAATGCTTTTTCTGGTGCTGCCTTGTTTTACTTAGGACTTACAATGGTTGGAAAAATAAGTAAACAACAAGGAATTAACCTTCTTATTCCTAGCTTATTGATTGTTGCAAAAATACTCATTCTTCCTATCATAATAAGAGAATTTGTTTTGATTTTGAGTAATGTTTTGCCTGTTTATCGACCGGGTCATATTCCTAGGAATTCAACAAATATGACAGACTATGTTCATCTTATGGCGGATTTTGGATATTTATATGGAACATTTCCAACTGCACCCACCGTCATTATTTATGCCTCACGATATGGAATGGAAGTAGATCGTCTCGCAGCTGGAATGGTTTTTTGCACTTCTTTATCTGCTCCTATCATGTATGTCAGTGCATGGACATTGTCAATGAGTCGTATGACAGCTAAATTTTTTGAAAACGAAGTTCGAATAGTTGATAGAAACATAAGTATCGTCACACTGTTTTGTTCTGTTTGGTGCATTGTAATTTTTATTATTGGAAGAAAATTTCTCAAAGTTCCACATATTATAACAACATCATATTTATTTGCAATTTTTTTCTCGTCACTGGGTACTATATTATGGTACTACTGTAGAGAACAAAGCTCAAAACCATCACAAATATTTTTGTTTGGAATGATGTATTTTGGAGTAAAGAGTTCCAGACTCTTAACAGCCTCTATGGCACTGGCTTTGGTTGCAGTGCTGTCGAAGGGTCAAACATGGCTGTGGAGCACATGCATATGGTTCATTATTCTACCATTTGTGATGTCATTTTTTACTACTGTGGGTTTGATGGCGAGTGCCGATATGAATACCAATGACAATGTTTTTGCATATGGAAGGTCACAAGATATTGCATCTTTTGTGATTATAGTTTTGTCCTTTGTTATTACAATTATATGCCTTATCGTAGTGTTCAAAACAGCAAATAGCTATGAAAACATTGATAATCAAAGTCAGTTGTCTCTTCTTTTGCCGAAATCAGACATTGAGATCTCATATTCTGATGATGATAATGCTTCAATAAGAGAAAATGAGGGAAAAGTATGTTTTTTCAATACAAGATGTAAGTTTGGGGATATCCAAAAAGGTCGACATATTGTTCTGTTACTTCTTTTGTCATTATCAATGTTTATTGGAATGTGTCTTGTAATGTGGAGATTGGTAAGAGATGAAGAAGAAGGCATCTATTTTGAAGTTGCTTTCCTGGACAGTGTGCTCAATTTTGGACAAGGATTTTTTGTGTTTTGTGTGTTTGGTTTTGATTCTGATCTTATCATTGATCCTTTCGTGAGACTTTGGAGAAAGTTAAGATATGGCGCTGAAGATATAAGCTTGCCAGATTTAAAAACTGTTGATAGAGAAACATTGCATAGATGTCTACAATTTGTAAGATATCACTTAGATGATTGCAAAATGGATATTGTCAAGGAACATCGATCAGGACTTCTGGCTTATAGTGAAGTATTCACAGGAACTGAACTTTGTACATGGCTTATTATTCATGGATTGGTCGATGATCGTTCTGAAGCTCTCATATATGGCCAAGATTTGCTGACTGGTCGTGTTTTATATCATTTCAACAAAAAGCATTATTTTCATGACCATAATTATTTGTACAAATTTGAAGAACCCAAAGTATGTTTTCGAATTGTTAAAACGGATTCTAGACAAAACAGCCCAAATATTGATCCAGTTGTTAGGAATTCTCCAATCTCGACAATGCCATCATCTTCTACTCAAATACGCATAGTGAGTCCTCCTAAAATCCTTACTCCCCTCAAGAAACAATATCACGGGTACAGCTTTGAAGCGTTCATTAGCATAAGTGAAGCTGAACAATTTCCAGATACCATGCGGAGAACTCCACCAGTGATAGCTCACTCCCCCATTACTGATATGTCATTGATATCCGTTAACAACAATTCAAATCTAAGTGATTCATCGGCAACAGGAGATACATATGAAAGTACTTCATCACTGCATGTGAGACGCCCAAAAAAACAGAAGACATTACTCACAAAAAAGATAAGGGTGAAATCATGGAACAATAGATCAGGTAATCATTCAGACTCATCCTTTTGAAAACCTACATTAGTTTATCAGTAGTACTCTTTATTTGATAGGGTATTCATAAAAATGTGTTTTCAGTAAATGAATGAATTTTTTGTAAAATTTCCGATTATGAGATTATGGTATTGCTTCCAAGACCACAATTAATTTCAAGCTTTGCACTTTGTTTTTTAAGGTGTTTCATGGAATCATTATGTGAAAAACTTACATAGAATAGAAATTGTCACTGTACTATTTCTCTGATAATCCTCCTTTGAACATAGATATTCATCTATTATTTTTACCAGCCACTCTTACAGTCATTAGATTACAGAGCATACTGTACAACCCAGACACCACTGTAGCTCGATTCTGATTATTGTCTCACTCAGTTTGGCAAGTTCTTTTTTGAGGGGTATGAACTTTTTGTGTCTTTCAACCTTTTCAATCATAGATAGGTATCAATTTAACTTATTTTGTAAAAAAAAACAATAACAGCCAAGATGTTCTTCTGACTTGACAATTTTCCTCTCACCAGTGCATGTAATCAATTCTGTATGTTTAGTATCACATAGTACAGTGATATCGCAAATATTTTTGGTGAGTATATCTGCTGAAAATTGTTTACAGCTGGGTTTACCAATGCATCCAAAATCAAAATATTAGAGCCAACCATGTTATTCGTCTGTTAAATTTCACCATGATGATCACCCTTTACTATTCTGTGTAAGATGAATTTTCAAAATTTTAAGGACTTTTTCAAATCTTGCCAGTTTTCTTCAATTTTTGTTCCACATCTCTTTTATTTTCTTACCTTGAAATAATGAAATTGTTTATTTATCCTTTCTTGTGGCTGTAACATACATGGTCATACTTTATTATGCTAACTTGCTGTCACTTGCCATGATGCATCAATTTAATAATATAAATTAAAAGTATTAAAAATGTCCTGATAGAAGTTGCAAATTATTTTCACATTATCTGTTTTATATTCATTTAGATACCATATTTTTGCAAATTGAAAGTTTACACATTCTCTCACACACACCAGTATCCTTCCTACTAGTTTTGTATAATTCTTCAAAGAATAGCACCAAAACATTTTGAAAATTTTACTTGGACATAATCTGTCACAGCGTGCTGATTAAATACACAAATGAGATTTTTTTGAAATGCATAATTCTTGTCCTAATAATTAGACTTATTGGAAAGTTCTGTTTTGTTTCAAATTTATCTACCTGTATTATGTAATAATGCAGTAATTTAGAATCTGGTTCTTGTACTCATTTCCACACAATTCAACTTCAATTTTGTGTCTTTGTTATACATGATGCGGATGCCTAAATATTTTAAATGATGACATGTTTATTATTTATGATTTGAATATTCTATTATTCCAACTAACTTACTATGCACCAAAATCAGAACTTAACATGACAATTTATACAGCAGTCAGTGCACATCCAATATTTTTAATGACGGAATTCTCTTTTTTAAAGTGGTCGTTTTAGTTTTGTTTGTTTATTCTGTTGCCTAAAGATGATATGTTTTAGCACCAATTATCTGTTGTTTGTTTTGATCCCGGCTTATTATCCTCCATTATGCTTCAGAACTTTCTTATTTAATATGGGTTCTGCCCAATTTGTTGGTGACTGAATTTTAAATTGAACCAAAACGCTTTAACTACCTATTATTATAAGTTATTTTCTGGTCAGATTCATTTAATGTCACAGAATGCAAAAATTTTCCAACCACGCTAGAGCATGGAAATTAATGATATCTTGAAGAGAAAGTGATTCATAATTTCAGATTCCATTATCCACTTTCCTAAATCAAAGACAAACGTTTGATCTCTTTATATGTGCCGCATCGTTAGTGTATTGCATCTGTGATTCTAAACACGGTTTCCCTTGACTTGCTCCCCAGTGGTAATAAGCCGCGCGCATATGGCAATTTGAACATTAACTGTTCTGCATTGCTATGTTTATGGGCGGGCATAATGTGATTCACGACTCTAAAGCGCGGCGCGCGTTGGCAAACCACGCTTTGTAAAATAAATCAGTACTTCACCTCAAAATAATCAGGTGTGAGTGCACGACATTTTTCCTCTGTCAACAAAACACATAAAATTTATATTGTGTGCGCCTTGGTTGTCGGTCTCCAGTATCCAATAGATAAAGTTTTTAATACGTAATTCAGATTAATATCAACTTTTTATTACAAGTTTGAATTTTTTATTATGTGCTTCCTATTTTTTACACTGTATTGAATAATTACTTATTACTGTCACAGCCTATATACTTTCTCATGTTGCGAGTTTGAGTTGCAGTTACCCATCTTTTACATTACAGGCCATACTTTGTTATTGTGAATTAGTCTCAATTATTTGCATTTTTTATTTGTGGTGCTTACGATATAATATATTGTGAACGTTGAACGTACTAGTGGTTCCTTGTTAATTTTATTCAGCATCGTATATGAGAGAGAGAGAGGGGGGTTTATTATTTTGTCAACCAAAATACAAACAGTCATCAATACGAAAAATATGTAACAGAACGGTCAACTTTAGATAACACGTATCACAAGACGCATTGTAATTATTTCAAGTATAGTGGATCAGATTCATGCGACTACTCAATGTTTTTTGCAATACTACACGATATTAGTCAGGGTAGTTTGCTGTGTTTAATCGCACTTATGTCAACAGATTGCTACTGAAGCATTTCTCGCGGATGTTTGTTTTATAGGTCAAGCAGTATTGCATTTTAGACATCCGATGGATTCGAAAAGCTGATATTTGAAATTGATAAAAATAAACGGCTTTTCACATCTCCCATCGAAAAGCGACATTCAACACTATTTTCTCGAAATTCCGTGTTTATTTTTGCCTTTATTCGAATTTTGCCGATGCGCGTCTGCCAAATTGAATTTTGAAGGAATATTTGCGTGCTCCAATGGAAACTTCTTGCCCACAATAGACCAATTTATTAACAGTCACATCCAATTATTCCCTGTTTATTTCATGTTCGAGACTGCGCGTGTCGTGGCGATTACCATAAGATCGCCTACAAATTGTCAGTGTAGTCGTGGTTTCGGTTGTCACACCGTTAAAATGCCATGTTTGGGGCCGTAACCTGGCACTAGGTATTCCTTAAATATCGAATGCATTCGTTAAGCATTGTTTTTTAAATCATCACTCTTTCAAGCATACACCGAAAAAGCTGGCCCGACAGGAAATATACCCTAATGGAATTACTTTAAATCCTAATATCCCTCGTGTCCAAAAAGGTCGATTTTAAATAAGAGCTAATGAGATCAATACCCCCGCATTACGAGTACAAGAGTATCGGGACTGAGGTATGAATATTCGATGAGTTCGTCACACGCAACGTCGCCGTTTGATTGAAAGGGAACTGAAATACGTCTGCAAAGGTTGGTGATAATTGAATGAACAACATGTTTACGATTTAATAAAAAACATGATGGGGATATTATTCAACCAATCGTTACTTTCACAACCGAAGAATGCTTCTGTGTTGAATGTACCGAAAAGTTGTGGTAGCCAATCGTAAAGCAATCTCAGAAATACGTCAAATTTGCGGCACCAGGTTTTGGTCATGAAAGAGACTCATACTGTTATATGTAATCGGAATGATCGCCATCAATTTATTGATGAAGGATGGAGTTCAATCCGCTCATATTCAGAAACTTTTCTTTTTGCTATGCTCACTTTTAATTTATTTTTATAATAGGAGAGGCACCTTCAATCTTTTTTTTTCACCCAATTGCGTGAACTGTAGCTTTGCAACCTGTTTGAGTAGTGAAATTCGTTAAACGCAATATTTCACCCGATGTTTTGATCCCGGCTTATTATCCTCCATTATGCTTCAGAACTTTCTTATTTAATATGGGTTCTGCCCAATTTGTTGGTGACTGAATTTTAAATTGAACCAAAACGCTTAACTACCTATTATTATAAGTTATTTTCTGGTCAAATTCATTTAATGTCACAGAATGCAAAAATTTTCCAACCACGCTAGAGCATGGAAATTAATGATATCTTGAAGAGAAAGTGATTCATAATTTCAGATTCCATTATCCACTTTCCTAAATCAAAGACAAACGTTTGATCTCTTTATATGTGCCGCATCGTTAGTGTATTGCATCTGTGATTCTAAACACGGTTTCCCTTGACTTGCTCCCCAGTGGTAATAAGCCGCGCGCATATGGCAATTTGAACATTAACTGTTCTGCATTGCTATGTTTATGGGCGGGCATAATGTGATTCACGACTCTAAAGCGCGGCGCGCGTTGGCAAACCACGCTTTGTAAAATAAATCAGTACTTCACCTCAAAATAATCAGGTGTGAGTGCACGACATTTTTCCTCTGTCAACAAAACACATAAAATTTATATTGTGTGCGCCTTGGTTGTCGGTCTCCAGTATCCAATATAGATAAAGTTTTTAATACGTAATTCAGATTAATATCAACTTTTTATTACAAGTTTGAATTTTTTATTATGTGCTTCCTATTTTTTACACTGTATTGAATAATTACTTATTACTGTCACAGCCTATATACTTTCTCACGTTGCGAGTTTGAGTTGCAGTTACCCATCTTTTACATTACAGGCCATACTTTGTTATTGTGAATTAGTCTCAATTATTTGCATTTTTTATTTGTGGTGCTTACGATATAATATATTGTGAACGTTGAACGTACTAGTGGTTCCTTGTTAATTTTATTCAGCATCGTATATGAGAGAGAGAGAGAGGGGGGTTTATTATTTTGTCAACCAAAATACAAACAGTCATCAATACGAAAAATATGTAACAGAACGGTCAACTTTAGATAACACGTATCACAAGACGCATTGTAATTATTTCAAGTATAGTGGATCAGATTCATGCGACTACTCAATGTTTTTTGCAATACTACACGATATTAGTCAGGGTAGTTTGCTGTGTTTAATCGCACTTATGTCAACAGATTGCTACTGAAGCATTTCTCGCGGATGTTTGTTTTATAGGTCAAGCAGTATTGCATTTTAGACATCCGATGGATTCGAAAAGCTGATATTTGAAATTGATAAAAATAAACGGCTTTTCACATCTCCCATCGAAAAGCGACATTCAACACTATTTTCTCGAAATTCCGTGTTTATTTTTGCCTTTATTCGAATTTTGCCGATGCGCGTCTGCCAAATTGAATTTTGAAGGAATATTTGCGTGCTCCAATGGAAACTTCTTGCCCACAATAGACCAATTTATTAACAGTCACATCCAATTATTCCCTGTTTATTACATGTTCGAGACTGCGCGTGTCGTGGCGATTACCATAAGATCGCCTACAAATTGTCAGTGTAGTCGTGGTTTCGGTTGTCACACCGTTAAAATGCCATGTTTGGGGCCGTAACCTGGCACTAGGTATTCTATAAATATCGAATGCATTCGTTAAGCATTGTTTTTTAAATCATCACTCTTTCAAGCATACACCGAAAAAGCTGGCCCGACAGGAAATATACCCTAATGGAATTACTTTAAATCCTAATATCCCTCGTGTCCAAAAAGGTCGATTTTAAATAAGAGCTAATGAGATCAATACCCCCGCATTACGAGTACAAGAGTATCGGGACTGAGGTATGAATATTCGATGAGTTCGTCACACGCAACGTCGCCGTTTGATTGAAAGGGAACTGAAATACGTCTGCAAAGGTTGGTGATAATTGAATGAACAACATGTTTACGATTTAATAAAAAACATGATGGGGATATTATTCAACCAATCGTTACTTTCACAACCGAAGAATGCTTCTGTGTTGAATGTACCGAAAAGTTGTGGTAGCCAATCGTAAAGCAATCTCAGAAATACGTCAAATTTGCGGCACCAGGTTTTGGTCATGAAAGAGACTCATACTGTTATATGTAATCGGAATGATCGCCATCAATTTATTGATGAAGGATGGAGTTCAATCCGCTCATATTCAGAAACTTTTCTTTTTGCTATGCTCACTTTTAATTTATTTTTATAATAGGAGAGGCACCTTCAATCTTTTTTTTCACCCAATTGCGTGAACTGTAGCTTTGCAACCTGTTTGAGTAGTGAAATTCGTTAAACGCAATATTTCACCCGATGTTTTGATCCCGGCTTATTATCCTCCATTATGCTTCAGAACTTTCTTATTTAATATGGGTTCTGCCCAATTTGTTGGTGACTGAATTTTAAATTGAACCAAAACGCTTAACTACCTATTATTATAAGTTATTTTCTGGTCAAATTCATTTAATGTCACAGAATGCAAAAATTTTCCAACCACGCTAGAGCATGGAAATTAATGATATCTTGAAGAGAAAGTGATTCATAATTTCAGATTCCATTATCCACTTTCCTAAATCAAAGACAAACGTTTGATCTCTTTATATGTGCCGCATCGTTAGTGTATTGCATCTGTGATTCTAAACACGGTTTCCCTTGACTTGCTCCCCAGTGGTAATAAGCCGCGCGCATATGGCAATTTGAACATTAACTGTTCTGCATTGCTATGTTTATGGGCGGGCATAATGTGATTCACGACTCTAAAGCGCGGCGCGCGTTGGCAAACCACGCTTTGTAAAATAAATCAGTACTTCACCTCAAAATAATCAGGTGTGAGTGCACGACATTTTTCCTCTGTCAACAAAACACATAAAATTTATATTGTGTGCGCCTTGGTTGTCGGTCTCCAGTATCCAATATAGATAAAGTTTTTAATACGTAATTCAGATTAATATCAACTTTTTATTACAAGTTTGAATTTTTTATTATGTGCTTCCTATTTTTTACACTGTATTGAATAATTACTTATTACTGTCACAGCCTATATACTTTCTCACGTTGCGAGTTTGAGTTGCAGTTACCCATCTTTTACATTACAGGCCATACTTTGTTATTGTGAATTAGTCTCAATTATTTGCATTTTTTATTTGTGGTGCTTACGATATAATATATTGTGAACGTTGAACGTACTAGTGGTTCCTTGTTAATTTTATTCAGCATCGTATATGAGAGAGAGAGAGAGGGGGGTTTATTATTTTGTCAACCAAAATACAAACAGTCATCAATACGAAAAATATGTAACAGAACGGTCAACTTTAGATAACACGTATCACAAGACGCATTGTAATTATTTCAAGTATAGTGGATCAGATTCATGCGACTACTCAATGTTTTTTGCAATACTACACGATATTAGTCAGGGTAGTTTGCTGTGTTTAATCGCACTTATGTCAACAGATTGCTACTGAAGCATTTCTCGCGGATGTTTGTTTTATAGGTCAAGCAGTATTGCATTTTAGACATCCGATGGATTCGAAAAGCTGATATTTGAAATTGATAAAAATAAACGGCTTTTCACATCTCCCATCGAAAAGCGACATTCAACACTATTTTCTCGAAATTCC